GCTGTTGGTTTTGATTTGCTAGTGTCTCTACCAGGTTTTGGTATCAGGATGATGCTGGCCTCATAAAAAGAGAGAGTATTGCCTCTTTTTCTATTGTTTTGAGTAGTTTCAGAAGGAATGATATCAGCTTTTCTTGATACCTCTGGTTGAATTCAGCTATGAAGCCATCTGGTCCTGGACTTCTTTTGGTTGGTAGGCTATTAATTGCTGCCTCAATTTCAGGCCTTGTTATTGGTATATTCAGGGATTCAATTTCTTCCTGGTTTGGTCTTGGGAGTGTGTAAGTGCCCAGGAATTTATCCATTTCTTCTAGATTTTCCAGTTTGTTTGCATGGAGGTGTTTATCAGTATTCTCTGATGGTAGTTTGTATTTCTGTGGGATCGGTGGTGATATCCTCTTTATCATTTATTGTTGCATCTATTTGATTCTTCTCTCTTTTCTTCTTTATTAGTCTGGCTAGTGGTCTATCTATCTATCTATTTTGTTGATCTTTTCAAAAAAACCAGATCCTGGATTCATTGATTTTTTGAAGAGTTTTTTGTGTCTCTATCTCTTTCAGTTCTGTTTGTAGTTATTTCTTGTCTTCTGCTAGCTTTTGAATTTGTCTGTTCTTGCTCCTCTAGTTGTTTTAATTGTGACATTTGGGTGTCCATTTTAGATATTTCTTCATTTCTCTTATGGGCATTTATTGCTATAAATTTCCCTCTACACACTGCTTTAAATGTGTCCCAGAGATTCTGGTATGTTGTGTCCTCATTCTCATTGGTTTCAAATAACATATTTATTTCTGCTTCATTTCATTATTTATCCTGTAGTCATTCAGGAACAGGTTGTTCAGTTTCCATGTAATTGTGCGGTTCTGAGTGAGTTTCTTAATCCTGAGTTCTTGTTTGATTGCACTGTGGTCTGAGAGAATGTTATGATTTCTGTTCTTTTGCATTTGCAGAGGAGTGTTTTACTTCTAATTTTGCGGTTGATTTTAGAATAAGTTTGATGTGGTGCTGAGAAGAATGTATATTTTGTGGATTTTGGGTGGAGAGTTCTGTAGATGTCTATTAGGTCCGTTTGGTCCAGATGTGAGTTCAAGTTCTGGATATCCCTGTTAATTTTCCATCTGGTTGATCTGTCTAATATTGACAGTGCAGTGTTAAAGACTCCCACAATTATTGTGTGGGAGTCTCATTCTCTTTGTAGGTCATTAAGAACTTGCTTTATGTATCTGGGTGCTCCTGTATTGTGTGCATATATATTTAGGATAGTTAGCTCTTCTTGTTGCATTGATTCCTTTACCATTATGTAATGCCCTTCTTTGTCTCTGTTGCTCTTTGTTGGTTAAAGTCTGTTTTATCAGAGACTAGGTTTGCAACCCCTGCTTTTTTTGCTTTCCATTTGCTTGTTAAATCTTCCTATATCCCTTTACTTTGAGTCTATGTGTGTCTTTGCATGTGAGATGGGTCTCCTGAATACAGCACACCTATAGGTGTTGACTCTTCATCCAATTTGCCAGTCTGTGTCTTTGAATTAGGGCATTTATCTCATTTACCTTTAAGGTTAATATTGTTATGTGTTAATTTGATCCTGCCATTATGATGCTAGCTCATTATTGATTTTACCCATTAATTGATGCAGTTTCTTCATAGTATTGATGGTCTTTACAATTAGGTATGTTTTGGCAGTGGCTGGTACTGGTTGTTCCTTTCCATGTATGTTTAGTGTTTCCTTCAGGAGGTCTTGTAAGGCAGGCCTGGTGGTGACAGAATCTCTTAGCAGTTGCTTGTCTGTAAAGGATTTTATTTCTCCTTCGCTTATGAAACTTAGTTTGCCTTGATATGAGATTCTGAGTTGAAAATTCTTTAAGACTGTTGAATATTGGCCCACACTCTCTTGTGGCTTGTAGGGTTTCTGCAGAGAGAACCACTTTGAGTCTGATGGCCTTCTTTTTGTGGATAACCCAACCTTTCTCTCAGGCTGCCCTTAGCATTTTTTTCTTCAATTATCTTGAATCTGATGATTATGTGTCTTGGGGTTGTTCTTTTTCATTAGTATCTTTGTGGTGTTGTCTGTATTTTCTAAATTTGAATGTCAGCCTGCCTTGCTAGGTTGGGGAAATTCTCCTGGATAATATCCTGAAGAGTGTTTTCCAACTTGGTTTCATTTTTCCCATCACTTTCAGGTACACTGATCAAATGTAGATTCTGTCTTTTCATGTAATCCCATATTTCTTGGAGCCCTTATGCATTTCTTTTCACTGTTTTTTCTCTGTTCTTGTCTTCTTGCCTTATTTCATCGAGTGGATCTTCAATTTCTGATATAATTTCTTCCGCTTGATTGATTTGGCTATTGAAACTTGTGTATGCTTCACAAAGTTCTCATGCTGTGTTTTTCATCTTCATCATGTTGTTCATGTTCTTCTCTAAATTGGATATTCTAGATAGCATTTTGTCTAAACTTTTTTCAAGGTTCTTAGCTTCCTTGTATGGGGTTAGAGCATGCTACTTTAGTTTGGAGAAGTTTGCCCACCTTCTGAAGCCTGCTTCTATCAATTTTGTTCCCCTGCTGCCAGGGAGTTGTGATCCCTTGGAGTAGAAGAGGCATTTGGTTTTTGGAATTTTCAGCCTTTTCGCACTGGTTTCTTCCCATCTTCATGGATTTATCTATGGGGATTTATCTACCTTTGGTCTTTGAAGTGAGTGACCTTCGGATGGGTTCTCTGAGTTGATGTCCTTTCTGGTGATATTCAAACTATTTCTATTTGTTAGTTTTCCTTCTAACCGTCAGGCGCCTCTGCTGCAGGTCTGCTGCAGGTTGCTGGAGGTTCACTCCAAATCCTACTTGCCTGGGAATCACTAGAGGGGGATGCAGATCAGCAAAGATTGCTGCCTTTCTTCTTCTGGTAGCTTCATCCCAGAAGTGTACCTGCCAGATGCCAGCCAGAACTCTCCTGTATGAGGTATCTGTCAATCCCTACTGGGAGGTGTCTCCCAGTCAGGATGCATGGGGGTCAGGAAGCTACTTGAGGAGGCTGTCTGTGCCTTATCAGAGATCGAACACTCTGCTGGGACATCTGCTGCTCTCTTCAGAGCTGCCAGGTAGGGATGCTTAAGTCTGCTGAAGCTGTACCCACAACCTCCCCTTTTGCCAGGTGCTCTGTACCAGGTAGGAGGGGGCTTATTTATAAGCCACTGATGGGCTGCTACCTTTCTTCAGAGATGCCCTGCCCTATGAGAAGGGAGTCTAGTGACAGTCCGCCTGCAGCAGCCTTGTTGTGCTGCCATGGGTTCTGCCCAGTTCGAAATTCCTGGCAACTTCATTCACACTGTGAAGTTAAAGCTCTCTACTCGAGCCTCAGCAATGGCACATGCTCTTCCCTCCACCAAGCTTGAATGTCCCAGGTCTAGCTCAGACTGCTGTGCTGGCTACCAGAATTTTAAGCCAGTGGATCTTAGCTTGCTAGTCTTCATGGAGTTAGGACTTACTGAGCCAGATAGCTTGGCTCCCTGGCTTCAGCCCCCTTTCCAGGGGAGTGAATGATTCTGTCTCATTTGAGTTCCAGGCATCACTGGGGTATGAAAAAAATACTGCTGAGGCTAGCTTAGTGTCTTCCCAAATGGCCACCCAGTTTAGTGCTGGAAACCCAGGGCCCTGGTGTTATAGGTACTGTAGGGAATCTCCTGGTTTGCGGTTGTGAAGACTGTGGGAAAAGCATAGTATCTGGGCTGAAGTGCAGGGGACAGTCCCTAATGGCTTCCCTTGGCTAAGAGAGGAAGTTCCCCTAGCACCTTGAGCTTTCTGGGAGAGGCAATGCCCCACCCTGCTTCACCTGACCCTCCTTTGGCTGTACCTACTGTCTAACCAGTCCCAATGAGATGACCATGTACCTTAGAAATGTGATCACCTGCCTTTTGCATCGATCTCACTGTTACTTACACAATGGTGCTGTTCCTATTCAGACATGTTGCCAGCAATCCTCCACCCTTTTATTCTTTTGGCATTTCCTTTCTCTTCACCTTGAGACTTAATATTTCAGATTTAGAAGCATTTACAAACAACACAAAGTTAACATTTGGTAAAGCAGGATCTCAATACTAAAAGAGAAAAAAATGTATAAGACCATTATGTAAACAAAGTATCAGTGAAGATTTCTGGTATGTAAAATTAAAAAAAATTATTTTGTTATAACCAGTTCAAAAGATGCCATTTTTCAACCATCTGTTGTGCTGTAAATATGTCCTTGTTTTATAGCAGTAACCATTAAATTAGCATTGAGTAAAATGGGTACCTTACTTGTGATATCTAGAGATACCATTGTATCACATAATATATGCAAAGTTTTAAAAATGCACTGTAAGTATGTTTTCCTCCCCCTTCCCTTTTTCTCTATCACCATACCAAGGAATCCAAAGAGATTCCCTAGGCCCCAATACTCCCTCATTGTGTACAGTTATTATCACTATTAAACAATGAGATAACTGAAGTCCTGGAAGATTAAGTGAGACATAATATCAAGTAACTTGTGCCTTTTAGTTTGGATTTTCTACTGTAATACTTCATGTCATGACCTCATTTAACAAAAATATATCTATTTACAACACACTAACCAATATTCTCCACTGTCTCCATAAAGCAAGCCACTGATGCTCAGGGAATACTCAAGATTAAATGTTAGCAGGCTACATTGTTGTTGTCCCACTCCTCTATGGAGATGAAAGTTTATCAGGAATAGTTTTTATTTAATACCAGTTCATAGTAGTTGCACATATTCTGATAATTGCATAATTTAATCAATATTTTAGAAGAAATTAAAACAATAGAGACAGTGGAAAACTTTGGAATGCTTTGGTGTGATTTCATAAAGGTGACACATGATTTTTTTTTTAAACTTTCTAGTTAACTATAGGGGAAGCAGTGTTAAAACCTTGTAAGTAATCTGAAAAAATATATACAAATGTAAATAAAATCCAGGTTATCTCCTAAGTATCTGAGTTATTTTTCTAATTAGAAAATTGATCACTGCTGGCACGATGGCTGAATAGGAAGAGCTCCAGTGTGCAACTCCCAGCGAGAGCAATGCAAAAGGTGGGTGATCTCTACATTTCCAACTGGTTCTTCTCACTGGGACTGGTTAGACAGTGGGTACAGCCCAAGGAAGGAAAGCTGAAGCAGGGTGGGGCATCGCCTCACCCAGGAAGCACAAGGGGTTGGGGAACTCCCTCTCCTAGCCAAGAGAAGCCATTAGGGACTTCTCTCAGCACTCTGGCCCAGACACTGTGCTTTTCTCATGGTCTTCACAACCTGCAGACCAGGAAATTCTCTCCGGTGCCCACAACACCAGAGCCTCAGGTTTCCGGCATAAATCTGGGCTGCCATTTGGGGAGACACTGAGCTAGCTGCAGTTTTTTTTCATACTGTTGCAGAGTATTCAGGAGACAACAGAGACCAATGGGTGAAACAGGAGGATTTTATTAAGGTGGCCACCAGCTCAGCAGATTAACATCCCAAGGCTGAGCCAAGGAGAAGGAAAATGGGGTACTATTTTTACACCCAGGATGATGTAGCAGCTGACAGGATTATAGAAGCCATAACAAAGAACAGTTAATTTGTAATGTGTTTTGTGATGCATATTACAATTGAAAAAATGCATTTTGAGAAACGCATTGTACATTCTCTGGGTGTTATCTTGCCCTGTGATCTTGCAGCTGGTCACCAAGAAATACGGGAGTCTTCAGATGCCTGGGGACTTTGCTGAGAATGTGGGGAGAACAGATAAGATAGGTTCTATGGGGAGTTAATTTTAAGCAGAGCTGGGGCTTAGGTTTTATATTAAACAGCACACAACATAGCAAAAGTTACTTAATTATATAGCAACTAGAAATTATAAGATTTTTGTTTTTACTATTATTGCTATTATTTAATTTCCTTCTTCAATACCCCCATGGTGCCTGAAAAGCGAGCAAGTCAAAATCATTCACTGCTCTAAAAAAGAGGGCTGAAGCCAGGGAGCTAAGTGATTTGGCTCAGCAGGTCCCATCCCCACAAAGACCAGCAAACTAAGATCCACTGGCTCAGCATAGCAGTCTGAGCTTGACCTGGGATGTTTGAGCTTGGTGGGGGGAGGGGCATCAGCCATTGCTGAGACACTGGTAGACAGTTTTAACTTTGCCTATGTAAAGAAAGTTGCCAGGAAGTTTATAGAGTGACTGGGTGGAGCCCACAGCAGCTCAGCAAGGCCTCTGCAGGCAGACTATGTCACTAGGCTCACTCCTCACTGGGCACGGTATCTCTGAAAAAGGCAGCAGCCCATCAAGTACTTATAAATAAAGCCCCCACCTTCCTGGCACAGAGTACCTGGGAAAACGGGAGGTTGTTGGTACAGCTTCAGCAGACTTAAACGTCTCTGCCTGGCAGCTCTGAAGAGAGCAGCACATCTCCCAGAACAGCGATTGGGCTCTCATAAGGCTCAGACTGCCTCCTGAAGCAGCTCCCTGACCCCCATGTATCCTGACTGGGAGACATTTCCCAGAAGAGGCTGAGAGATACCTTAACAAAGGAGCCATGGCTAGCATCTGGCAGGTATCCTTCTGGGACGAATCTACCAGAGGAATAAATAGGCAGCAATCCTTGCTGTTCTGCAGTTGATTCCTAGGCAAGCAGTGTCTGGAGTGGACCTCCAGCAGAACAGCAGCAGAGGTGCCTGTTAGAAGGAAAACTAACACAGAGAAAAAGTTTCAACATCAATAGACAGGATATCCACTCAGAGACTCCATTCAAAGGTCACCAGCTTCAAAGACCAAAGGTAGATAAATCTATGAAGGTGGGAAGAAACCAGCACAAAAAGGCTGGAAATTCAAAAAACCAGAATGCCTCTTCTCCGAGGGATTATAATTCACCAGCAAGGGAACAAGACTGGATGGAAAATAAGTTTGATGAATTAAAAGCAGGCTTCAGAAGGTGGGTAAAAACAAACTTCTCTGGACTAAAGGAGCATGTTCTTACCCAATGCAAGGAAGCTAAGAACCTTGAAAAAGGGTTATATGAAATGCTAACTAGAATAATCAGTGTAGAAAAGAACATACATGACCTGAGGGAACTGAAAAACACAGTGCAAGAACTTCATGAAGCACGCATAAGTTTCAATAGCCAAATTGATCAAGTGGGAAAAAGGATATCAGAGATTGAAGATCAACTCAATGGAATAAAGTGAGAAGACAAGATTAGGGAAAAAAGAGTGAAAATAAATAAATAAAGCCTCAAAGAAATATGGGATAATATGAAAAAGCAAATCTATGTTTGATTTAAAGTGATGGGGAGAATGAAACCAAGTTGGAAAACACTCTTTGGGATATTATTCAGGAGAACTTCCCGAACCTAGGAAGGTAGGCCAACATTCAAATTCAGGACATACAGAGACCACCACAAAGATACTCCTCTAGAAGAACAACCCCAAGACACATCATCAAAAGCACCAGGGTTGAAATGAAGGAAAAAATGCTAAGAGCAGCCAGAGAGAAAGGTTGGGTTAGCCAGAAAGGGATGCCCATTAGACACACAGTGGATCTTTTTATTTATTTATTTAATTTTTTTATTTTTTTTTAAATTTTTTATTGGATTTTAGGTTTTGGGGTACATGAGCAGAGCATGCAAGACAGTTGCATAGGTACACACATGGCAGTGTGCTTTCTTTTCTTCTCCCCTTCACCCACATTTGGCATTTCTCCCCAGGCTATCCCTCCCCACCTCCCCCTCCCACTGGCCCTCCCCTTTTCCCCCCAATAGACCCCAGTGTTTAGTACTCCCCTTTCTGTGTCCATGTGTTCTCATTTTTCATCACCCACCTATGAGTGAGAATATGCAGTGTTTCATTTTCTGTTCTTGTGTCAGTTTGCTGAGGATGATGTTTTCCAGATTCATCCATGTCCCTACAAACGACACGAACTCATCATTTCTGATTGCTGCATAATATTCCATGGTGTATATGTGCCACATTTTTCCAATCCAGTCTATTATCAATGGGCATTTGGGTTGATTCCAGGTCTTTGCTATTGTAAACAGTGCTGCAATGAACATTCGTGTACATGTGTCCTTATAGTAGAACGATTTATAGTCTTTTGGCTATATACCCAGTAATGGGATTGCTGGGTCAAATGGAATTTCTATTTCTAAGGCCTTGAGGAATCGCCACACTGTCTTCCACAATGGTTGAACTAATTTACACTCCCACCAACAGTGTAAAAGTGTTCCTTTTTCTCCACATCCTCTCCAGCATCTGTTGTCTCCAGATTTTTTAATGATCACCATTCTAACTGGCGTGAGATGGTATCTCAATGTGGTTTTGATTTGCATCTCTCTGATGACCAGTGACGATGAGCATTTTTTCATATGATTGTTGGCCTCATATATGTCTTCTTTCGTAAAGTATCTGTTCATATCCTTTGCCCACTTTTGAATGGGCTTGTTTGTTTTTTTCCTGTAAATCTGTTTGAGTTCTTTGTAAATTCTGGATATCAGCCCTTTGTCAGATGGGTAGACTGCGAAAATTTTTTCCCCATTCTGTTGGTTGCCGATCTTTTGACAGAAACCATAGAAGCCAGAAAAGAGTGTGGGCCAACTTTCAACATCCATAAAGAAAACGATTTTCAACCCAGAATTTCATATCCAGCCAAACGGAGCTTCATAAGTGGAGAAGTAAAATCCTTTACAGACAAGCAACTGCTGGGAGTCCTGTGATGTCAACCATCTATGGGTCTCTCAACTGTGGATACCAGCACCTGTTATGGTGGAGGTAGTAGAGGGTGCAATGGACTCTGTGAGTGCCCTTAGCTTTGGTGGTTTAATGCTCTACACTTGTGCTTATTGGCCTCATGGCAGGAGGTGGTGCTTTCTAAAAGCATCAGCTATAGTAAGGTGGAGAGGGACTGGTTGTGGGCAGGGCCCTAGAACTACCAAAATTATATGCCTTTGTCTTTGGCTGCCACAGTGGACAGAGACGAACCATAAGGTGGGGGCAGGGCTAGGCATGTCAGAGCTCAGACTTTCCTTGAGCAGATCTTGCTGCAGGTGCTATGGGGAATGGGGTAAGAATTCCCAAGTCACAGGAGTTGTATAATGAGGAGGAGGATGGCTGCCTCTGCTCAGTCATGCAGGTTGTCAAGTAAGTTAAAGAAAGTTTGCAGTCACAAGCCTCAGCCAGCTCTCATGCAAACTGAAGGGACAGGTTCAACCCCACCATGTCCCACTACCCCCAACAGCTCTGATTCTGTTTTCAAGTAGAGGGCAAGAGGGGCTTGAAAACTTGCCTACCTTAAAAGACCTCTTGAAGGAAGCACTAAACATGGAAAGAAACAATCAGTACCATTCACTGAAAAAACATACCAAATTGTAAAGACAATCAACAATATGAAGAAACTGCATCAACTAATGGGCAAAACAACCAGCTAGGATCAAATTCACACATAACAATATTAACCTTAAATATAAATGGGCTAAATGCCCCAATTAAAAGATAGAGACTGGCAAATTGGATAAAGAGTCAAGATCCATTGGTGTGCTGTGTTCAGCAGCTGAATCTTACTTGTAAAGACACACATAGGCTGAAAATAAAGGGATGGAGGAAGATTTAGGAAGCAAATGGAGAGCAAAAATAAATAAAAAGCAGGGATAACAATCCTGATTTTTGATAAAACAGACTTTTTACCAACAAAGATTTAAAAAGATGAAGAGCATTACATAATGGTAAAGAGATCGATGCAACAAGAAGACCTAATTGTCCTAAATATATATGCACACAATACAGGAACACCCAGATACATAAAGCAAGTTCTTAGACACATACAAAGAGAATGAGACTCCCACACAATAATTGTGGGAGTCTTTAACACTGCACTGTCAATATTAGACAGATCAACCAGACGGAAAATTAACAAGGATATCCAGGACTTGAACTCAGGTCTGGACCAAGCAGACCTAATAGACATCTACAGAACTCTCCACCCAAAATCCACAAAATATACTTTCTTCTCAGCACCACATTGAACTTATTCTAAAATCAACCACATAATTAGAAGTAAAACACTCCTCAGCAAATGCAAAAAAATGGAAATCATAACAGTCTCTCAGACCACAGTGCAATCAAATGAGAACTCAGGATTAAGAAACTCACTCAAAACCACACAACTACATGGAAAGTGAAAAACCTGCTCCTGAATGACTACTGGATAAATAATGAATTGAAGGCAGAAATGAAGATATTATTTGAAACCAATGAGAATGAAGACACAACATACCAGAATCTCTGGGACACATTTAAAGCAGTGTGTAGAGGGAAATTTATAGCAATAAATGCCCACAAGAGAAATGAGCAAAGATCAAAAATTGACACCATAATGTCACAAAAGAACTAGAGGAGCAAGAACAGACAAATTCAAAAGCTAGCAGAAGACAAGACATAACTACACAGAACTGAAGGAGATAGAGACACAAAAAACCCTTCAAAAAATCAATGAATCCAGGATCTGGTTTTTTGAAAAGATCAACAAAACAGATAGACCACTAGCCAGACTAATAAAGAAGAAGAGAGAGAAGAATCAAATAGATGCAATAAAAAATGATAAAGAGGATATCACCACCATTTCCACAGAAATACAACGTACCATCAGAGAATACTGATAAACACCTCTATGCAAACAAACTGGAAAATCTAGAAGAAATGGATAAATTCCTGGACACCTATAGCTTCCCAAGACTAAACCAGGAAGAAGTTGCATTCTTGAATAAGCCAATAACAAGGTCTGAAATTGAGGCAGCAATTAATAGCCTACCAACCAAAAAAAGTCCAGGACCAGACAGGTTCACAGCCAGAGTCTACCAGAGGTACAAAGAGAAGCTGATACCATTCCTTCTGAAACTATTTCAAACAAAAAAAAAGAGACAATATTCCATAACTCATTTTATTAGGCTAACATCATCCTGATACCAAAACCTGGCAGAGACACAACTAAAAAAGAAAATATCAAGTCAATATCCATGACAAACATTGATGCAAAAATCCTCAATAAAATACTGGCAAGCCAAATCCAACAGCACATCAAAAAGCTTATCCATCACGATCAAGTCAGTTCTTCCCTGGGATGCAAGGCTGGTTCAACTTACACAAATATATAAATGTAATCTATCACAGAAACAGAATCAAACACAAAAAACACATGATCATCTCAATAGACACAGAGAAAGCCTTTGACAAAATTCAACAGTCTTTTATGCTAAAAACTCTCAATAGACTAGAAATGGATGGAATGTATCTCAAAATAAGAACTATTTATGACAAACCTACAGCCAATATCATACTGCATGGGCAAAAACTGGAAGCATTCCCTTTGAAAACTGGCACTAGACAAGAGTGCCCTCTCTCACCATTCCTATTCAACATGGTATTGGAAGTTCTAGCTAGAGCAATTTGGCAAGAAAAAGAAATAAAGGGTATTCAATAAGGAAAAGAGGAAGTCAAACAGTCTCTATTTGCAGACGACATGATTGTATAGTTAGAAGACCTCATTGTCTCAACCCAAAATCTCCTTAAGCTGATAAGCAACTTCAGCAAAGTGTCAGGATACAAAATCAATGTGCAAAAATTATAAGCATTCTTATACACCAATAATAGACAGAGAGCCAAATCTGAATGAACTCCCATTCACAGTTGCTACAAAGAAAATAAAATACCTAGTAAAACAACTAACAAAGGATGGGAAGGACCTCTTCAAGGAGAGCTATAAACCACTGCACAAGGAAGTAAGAGAGGACACAAACAGATGGAAAAATGTTCCATGCTCATGGTTAGGAAGAATCAATATTGTGAAAATAGCCATACTGCCCAAAGTAATTTATAAATTCAATGTTATCCCCATCAAGCTACCATTGACCTTCTTCAAAGAATTGGAAAAAAAACACCTCGAATTTCATATGGAACAAAAAAAAAGCCACATAGCCAAGACAATCTTAAGGGAAAAGAAAAAAGCTGGAGGCATCAGGCTACCTGACTTCAAATCATACTACAAGGCTCCAGCAAGCAAAACAGCATGGTACTGGTACAAAACAGATGTAGACCAACAGAACAGAACAGAGGCCTCAGAAGTAATGCCACACATTTACAACCATCTGATCTTTGACAAACCTGACACAAATAAGCAATGGGGAAAGGATTCTCTATTTAATAAATGATGTTGGGAAAACTGGCTAGCTATATGCAGAAAGCTGAAACTGGATCCCTTCCTTACACCTTATATAAAAATTAACTCCAGATGGATTAAAGATTTAAATGTAAGTTCTAATAGCATAAAAAGTGTAGAAGAAAACATTCGCAACATCATTCAGGACATGTGCATGGGCAAGGACTTCATGACTAAAACACCAAAAGCAATGGCAACAAAAGCCAAAATAGACAAATGGAATCTAATTAAACTAAATAGAATGGCAATTATTAAAATGGAATAATTAAATAAATGGAATCTAATTAAACTAAATAGAATGGCAATTATTAAAAATCAGGAGACAGCAGGAAAATGAGGACCCAAGATGGCAGTTTAGGAGCAGCTCAGGATTGCAGCTCCCAGTGAAAGCACAGAGGGTGAGTGGATGCCGGATTTCCAGACAGATATTTACTGCCCACAGACCAGGAGATTCCCAGGCGGAGGAGCCCCACAGGTCGCCAGCACAGCTATTTTGGCTGGCACGGCTATTTTGCTGGTGCCCAAGTGTGGCAGTTCTTCGTACAAAATACACTGGTCTGGTTGCCCTTTTAAGATGGTGATTGGAGCTCTGGGAAGGCAGAGTCGCCCACTCATCTGATTAAACAGGGAGCCAGGCCAGGAGATTCCTGGGCAGCGCTGTTGTTTCAGCCGGCGCAGTGGGTCACAGCATGTGAAATCACACAGATCCTGGCACTTTTTCAACAGGCGACTGGAACACCTGGGAGAGAGTCAGCTGTTCAACTTGAAAAAAAAAAGGCTCTGAGGCAGGAAGCAAGGTTATCAGGCTTGGTGGGTCCCACCCCCACCCCCCCCAAAATAAAAAAAACTGCAATTGGAAATGCCCTGGGTTGAGAGTTTCACAGCAAGCACAGCTGAACCCCAAATTGTCCAGCTCTGTGGGGGAGGGGTGTCTGCCATTACCAAGGCACTCCACCCGTATGGAGGTAGTCTGCCATTGCTGAGGCAGCCCACCATTACCGAGGCAACCCGCCACTACAGAGAGAGTCCACCATTACAAGGTGGGCAACCATTGCCAAGGCAGTTCTAACCCATATAAACAGGACTACAGGGAAATTCATGTGGCAGTAGGGCAGAGCCCACAGCAGCTCAGCAAACCCTCTGCAGGCAGACAGTGACCAGGCTGCCTCCTTGCTGGGCAGGGCAGCCCTGGATAAAAAAAGGTAGCAGCACAATGGAAACTCAGAAATAAAGCCCTAACTCCCCAGGATAGAGCACCTGGGGGGAAAAAAATAGGGGTTTATGAGTTCTGCTGCAGCAGACTTAAATGTACCTGCCCAGCAGCTCTGAACAACAGAGCTCACAGCTCAGCACTTGTGCTCCTATAAAGGACAGACTATCTCCTCAAGCAGCTCCTTGACCCCCATATATCCAAAGAGTCACCTCACAAAGGACTGATCAGACTGACATTTGGCGGGCATCATTCTGGGACAAAGACAGCAGAAGAAGAAACTGGTAGCAACCCTTACAGTTCTGCAGCTGCTGCAGGTGATCCCCAGGCAAGCAGAGCCTGGAGTGGACCTCAGCAGTCCTACAGCAGAGGGGCCAGTCTGTTAGAAGGAAAACTAAGAACAGAAATAACTTCATCATCAACTGGATGTCCACTCAGACCCAATCTGAAAATCAGCAACTACAAAGACAACAGGTGGATAAATCCACAAAGATGGGAAGAAACCAGCACAAAAGGGAGGAAAACACCCGAAACCAGAAAACCTCTCCTCCTACAAGGGATCACAACTCCTCACCAGTAAGGGAACAAGGCTGGATGGAGAATGAGTGTGATGAAATGGCATAATCAGACTTCAGAGGGTGAGTAATGAGAAAATTCTGTGAGCTAAAAGAACATGTTCTAACCCAATGAAAAGAAACTAAGAACCTTGAGAAAAGATTTGATGAAATGCTAATGAGAATGGACAACTTAGAGAGGAATTTGAGTGAATTGATGGAGCTGAAAAACACAACACAAGAACTTCATGAAGCATGCATAAGTTTCAACAGCTGAATTGACCAAGCAGAAAAGAGGATATCAGAGGTTGAAGATCAACTAAATGAAATAAAATGAGAAGGCAAGATTAGAGAAAAAAGCACAAAAAATGAACAAAGTCTCCAAGAAATATGGGACTATGTGAAGAGACCTAATCTACGTTTGATAGGTGTACCTGAATGTGACGAAGAGAATGAATCCAAGCTGGAAAATACTCTTCAGGATATTATCCAGGAAAACTTCCCCAACCTAGCAAGGCAGGCCAATATTCAAGTCCAGGAAATAGAAGGAACACCACAAAGATATTCCTCAATAAGAGCAACCCCAAGGCACATAATTGTCAGATTCACCAGGGTTAAAATGAAGGAGAAAATGCTAAGGGCAGCCAGAGAGAAAGGTCAGGTTACCCACAAAGGGAAGCCCATCAGTCTTACAGCAGATCTCTCAGCAGAAACCCTACAAGCCAGAAGAGAGTGGGGGCCAATATTCAACATCCTTAAAGAAAAGAACTTTCAACCCATAATTTCATATCCAGCCAAACTAAGCTTCACAAGTGAAGGAAAAATAAAATCCTTTGCGAACAAGCAAGTACTCAGAGATTTTGTCACTACTAGGCCTGCTTTACAAGAGCTCCTGAAAGAGGCACTACACATAGAAAGGAACAACCAGTACCAGCCACTCCAAAAACATACTAAATGCTAAACAGCATCAACAAAATGAAGAATCTGCATCAACTAACAGGCAAAACAGTCAGCTAGCACCAAAATGGCAGGATCAAATTAACACATAACAATATTAACCCTAAATGTAAATGGGGTAAATGCACCAATAAAAAGACACAGACTGGCAAATTGGATAAAAAGCCAAAACCCATCAGTGTGCTGTATCCAGGAAACCCACCTCACATGCATGGATACACAAAGGCTCAAAATAAAGGGATGGAGGAAGAGTTACCAAGCAAATGGAGAACAAAGAAAAGCAGGAGTTGCAATTCTCGTCTCTGATAAAATAGACTTTAAAGCAACAAGGATCAAAAGAGACAAAGAAGGACATTACATAATGGTACATGTACCCCAGAACCTAAAATGCAAATATATATATAAAATAACAAAGAGCATAATTGGATTGTTTGTAACTCGAATGATAAATGCATGATGGGATGGATAACCGAATCTCCATGGTATGATTATCATGCATTGCATACCTGCATCAAAATATCTCATGTACTCCATAAATGTATACATCTGTTATATACCCACAAACATTAGAAAGTAAAAAAGGAAAAAAAAAGTACTTATTTTATTGCCACCCAAAGGAACCATCTCTAAATGCCATAATATTTGGGATTAGGGTTTCAACATATGAATGTGGAGAGGCACTAACATTCAGTTTTCCAAGTTATATTTCTATTAACCCTGTGTGAAATAGAGCTGTCATTACTCCTTCTCTTCCTGAACACTTGGGTGTTTTCCAAATGTTTAACTTTTACATGTTTTGTCAGTGTTTAACATCTGTTCTGATATATTGGGACTATCCAACTAACATAACACTGATTTTGTACTATCACCTTATCTCTATTTACTAAAGAGAGACACCATTGTGGCCTTGTTCAAATTGTACAGGCCTTCCTACTATTTAAGGAATGTCAGCTAGTGATTTTGTAAGAAAATATTAAATTATTTTGATGCTTGTTAATTTGAATATTCCCAGCTTCAGGAAGTATTGCCAGAAGATGGCATAAATGTACTACATTGGAAAGTAAATAAATATTTAGATACATTTCTGGTTAAGTAGTACAGAGAGTGCTTTGTAATATACAATCCAGTTTCGATTTTTCTACTCCACTTATATTCTGAAAGACTTTTGCACGCTAGAAACTAGATTTTTGTAGAACTCAAGCATGTTCATCTACATTAAAGCCAACAAATACAAGAATTTTTAAGAGGCAAAGATTTAACTTTAAGTCTAGAGATGAGAATCTGCAAACAATAAAATCCTTATTTTCAAAATGAAATACCTATTTTTTTCTTGCTGCTTTAAAATAAATGTTGGTAAATATTATTAAGATTTATTGAGTAACTAATAACACTGCCTTTCCATAGTAATTTATTATAAGTACTTTATCATGTTCAAGAGATATGTAAATCTATGCAATGCCATTTATAAATGTCTTAGGTTGACAGGATTATTTAGTACCTGCTTAAAACATGAAAAAGGTAAAAACAAGCCTCCTAATAATTGAATCAAATAAATATGTGTTCTCATTAATCAAGTTTCTTAAATATTTTCTAAAATGTTACCTGAAATTAAAATGCAACTGGCATTTCTTATTCAGTTTGGACCCCAAATAGGAATAGAACAAATCTGTAGCACTCAATCTGGAGTACTAATCATGAAATTGAATTGTTAGGTACTGTGATGGCAATTTCCCAAGAATAACCTGTCATCAAAGCCTAGAAAATACTGTTATTAATTTAATCAGATTCCAAGTAAGCTTATGACATATGTTTTTTATAACCTTTCAAAGTTACTTACTCATACTAAAACTGTCTTAAAAACAGATGTCATCTATCATTGGAAAACTGGAAATTTCTATCCATATGTGGCATTTTTGTCCCATCTGAACTTTTAATAAAAATTTGATCTAAATTCTGCCATTACAGATCCATGGAATATAATAACCACTTCTAGAAGCTGAGATGTGGAGAAATTTTTTTACTGATCTCTCCTGAGGTAAAGTCTCAAGTGACTTATAATAATTATAATAATCTCAGTGAGCTCTAACAGTGTTATCCTTATCCTGACTATATCATTATATATGCATTATCGTTTGTTTATCACCATAGATTCTGTCTCCCAGACTGGACCATAAGCTCCTTAAAGTAATATATCTTTGATTTCATTTTAGCAGTAATAAATACTACCTCCTTTTGGTGTAAACCCCTGTGTAAATGTTGCAGATGTACTAATCACACAATGACTCAATGTATTCCTTTCCTGAAAATCATGATTTTCAGATAAATTTATTATAATAGGGGCTGGAAAGATATTGCAAAGTTCCTTTATATAAATGACTAAAATACTACTGTATAGTAAGTAACATTAGTAGTTAGTAGTAACTAACATCAGCAATTAATTATCTCTGCCTTTTTAAAAATTTTGTTGAAAATGGTTTGACTCTAATTGAATAGCAGACACCAGCACAAGTAGATCTTTCTGTGTCAGAATTTAAAATATCAACAGTTACTTTCTAGAGTGAGGTAGAACCTAATACAAAAACACCAACTATCAATCAATGACTTTACACTTCACTAATCCTACATGATGTGGTAAAAATGATGAACAGGGCCATACTTGGAGGAGGATTAGGGTAGAGGAAATGCCCCAAAGATCAGGTTGGCAGGTGCCAAAGCATTCAACCATCCAAATTACCAAGACTTTCTTGAATGTCTGCAATATAAAATACATCTTGAGAGGTGCTAGATAAAAATAAATATGGGATGTGATGTTACCTGCCCTCAAGAGCTTATCATTAAAATGGAAATAAAACTCTCCCTGGTAAGAACACAACCAGTCTCATGCAGAAACAAAAAGAGAACTCTCTTACAATAATTTTAAACAAGTACTATGAAGTATAATGCAAGGTTCTTAAAATGGAATTTCCTGAAAGAAGAAATGAAAATAATTATATCTTATTTACATTTATTAAATTATTAAAGGATAGCAATTCAATTGGAATATTGCCCCATTGCAATACAGGTTTTTGAATCTTTGTAATTAATGGATCTTTATAATAAATATGAATGCCTGCTGATAGCATTAAATGAAAGCCACATGGGAAATTTTTAAATTGCTGGGTAAAGGGGCCAACACTTAAATGTATTGATTAATCTCAAAATGAAAAGTAACTCCTTGTTAAATGCCTTCAGATATGGTACAGGAAAGAAAATTAAAATCAGCTATATGCATTTTTGCCAAAAATAATATAATACCTAATCTCTTAGTATATTATTTTGTGGAAAGCACAGGTGACAAAGAAACATAGGAATGCAATCAGCAAAATCTAATGTATAGAAAATGTTCCAAGATAAATGGTCAAAGTTCTTCAATTAATAAATTGAAGAATGAAAGTGAGAGAGGGAACCTACAAAAGAGTGTTGTAGAGATATTAAATAAAAGAAATCCAACCAAACTGTGGAAATTTGATTAGTGGCTAAATATTTGATGGTATACAGTAATTATTATTATTTGAGATTATAATGATATTGTGGTTATGTTTTTAAAAATGATAGTCTGTTAAAGATATACTCTAAAGTATTCACAGAAGAAATTTTAGATGTCTGATGTTTGTTTCAAGATGATTACAAAGTTGGAGAAATAGATAAAGCAATATTGGCCATTTAGTGAAGCTATTTGATGGAAATATTAATGTTCATTATGCTATTATATCTACTCTGGCATATGTTTAAAATGTCTGCAATAAAAGAGGTTAAAAATTACTCATATTAGTATGCATTTAAAATGCAATTTTATTAGGAAGAAAACCCTCTGGCTATATTTCTTTCTTTTTCCTTTTTTTAATTCAGTCTCTGTAGAGACTGTCAAAAATTGCCAATGCTGACTATATTTCAAGTCATCATGGTGGGGTATAGGGAAAAGTTTTCAATTAACAATAATTACGCCTTGGATAAACCTCATTGGCTACAATACTGCCACTGTGCAAAGCCTCTGGCTATATTTCTAATTTCTAGTATATCTGCATATATAGCCACAAATAAATACTGCCACTGTGTAAAGCCTCTGGCTATATTTCTAATTTCAAGGATATCTGCCTATATAGCCACAAATAGAATATAAAGATAAGAAAAGTGAAACAGGAAAAGGATGTGGTCCTCATTATATCTGAGTATTTCATGGGAGAGAGCTATTTTATATTTTTAACTTTAGAAATAATGTATAGTAAAAAAAATTGCAGGATTGCTGGCAAGATGGCTGAATAGGAACTATTCCAGTGTGCAGCCCCCAGTGAGAGTGATGCAGAAAGCTGGTGATTTTCACATTTCTAACTGAGGTACCTGGTTCATCTCATTGGGACTGGTTAGACCAAGGAGGGTGAGCCAAAGCAGGGCGGGGAATCACCTCACCCAGGAAGCACAAGGGGCCAGGGAACTCCACTCCTAGCCAAGGGAAGCAATTAGGGACTTTTCACAGCACTCTGGCACTCTGGCCCAGATACTTTGCATATCCCACAGTCTTTACAACCCACAGACCAGGAGATTCCCTCCAGTGCCTACAAGACCAGCATCCCGAGTTTCCAGCAGAAAACTGGGCAGCCATTTGGGAAGACACTGAGCTAGCCACAGCAGTTTTTTTTCATACCCCAGTGGTACCTAGAATATGGGTGAGACAGAACTGTTCACTCCCCTGATAAAGGGAGCAGAAGCCAGGGAGGCAAGTGATCTGGCTTGGTGGGTCCCACCCCTACAAAGATCAGCAAGCTAAGATCCACTGACTTGAAATTCTCACAAGCAGCATGGCAGTCTGAGCTTGACCTGGGACATTTGAGCTCAGTGGGGGTAGGGGTCTCCACAATTGCTGAGGCTCAAGTAGGTGATTTTAGCCTCATCCGGAAAGTTTACATAGCGATGGTGTGGTGCCCACAGCAAGTCAGCAATGCCTCTGTAGGCAGACTGTGTCACTAGGCTGCCTCATCACTGGGCAGGGCATCTCTGCAAAAAGGTAGCAGCCCATCAGGGACTTACAAATAATGCCCCAATCTTCCTGGGACAGAGTACTTGGAAAAGGGGTTGGTTGTGGGTACAACTTCAGCAGACTTAAATATCCCTGTCTGACAGATCTGAAGAGAGCAGTGGGTCTCCCAGCATGGTGTCTGAGCTCTGATAAGGGACAGACTGCCTTCTGAAGTGGCTCTGTAACCCCTGTGTTTCCTGACTGGGAGACACCTCCCTGTACAGGCTGACAGAGACCTCTTACAGGAGACCTCTGGCTGGCATCTGGTGGGTAGCCCTCTGGGATGAAGCTACCAGAGGAATAAACAGGCAGCAATCTTTGCTGTTCTGCAGGTGATTCCCAGGCAAGCACTGTCTGGAGTGGACCTCCAGCAAACTCCAGCAGACCTGCAGCAGAGGCATCTGACTGTTTGGAAGGAAAACTAACAAACAGAAATAAATAGTTTCAACATCAACAAAAAGGATATCTACTCAGAGACTGCATGCAGAGGTCACCAACTTCAAAGACCAATGGTAGATAAACCCATTAAGATGGGAAGAAACCAGTGCAAAAAGGCTGAAAATTCAAAAAGCAAGAACACCTCTTCTCCTTTAAGGGATTACAACTCCCCATCAGCAAGGGAATAAAACTAGATGGGGAATGAGTTTGATGAATTGACAGAAGCAGACTTCAGAAGGTGGGTAGTAACAAACTTCTCGGAGCTAAAGGAACATGTTCTAACCCAATGCAAGGAAGCTAAGAACCTTGAAAAAGGGTTAGATGAAATGCTAACTAGAATAACCAGTGTAGAGAAGAACATAAACGACCTGATGGAGCTGTAAACACAGCACAAGAACTTTGTGAAGCATACACAAGTTTCAATAGCTGAATCGACCAAGTGGAAGAAGAGATATCAGAGACTGAGGATCAACTCAATGAAATAAAGTGAGAAGACAAGATTAAAGAAAAAAAAGTGAAAAGAAATGCACAAAGCCTCCAAGAAATAGGAGATTATGTGAAAAGACCAAATCTCTGTTTGATCACTGTGCCTGAAAGTAATGGGGAGAATGAAACCAAGTTGGAAAGCACTCTTCAGACTATTATCCAGGAGAACTTCCCCAACCTAGCAAGACAGGCCAACATTCAAATTCAGGAAATACAGAGACCACCACAAAGATACTTCTTGAGAAGAGCAACCCCAAGACACATAATTGTCATATTCATCAGGGTTGAAATAAAGGAAAAAATGCTAAGGGAAACCAGAGACAAAGGTTGTGTTACCCATAAAAAAAGCCCCTCAGGCTCACAGCAGATCTCTTGGCAGAAACTCTACAAGCCAGAAGAGAGTACAGGCCAATATTCAACATCCTTAAAAAAAAAAAAAAAAAAAAAACAGAATTTTCAACCCAGAATTTAATATTCAGCTAACCTATGATTCATCAGCAAAAGAGAAATAAATTCCTTTACAGAAAAGCAACTGCTGAAATATTTTGTCACCACTAGGCCTCCCTTACAAGACCTTCTGAAGGAAACACTAAACATGGAAAGGAATAACCAGTACCAGCCACTGCAAAAACGTACCAAATCATAAAGACCATTGACACTATGAAGAAACTGCATTAACTAGCAGGCAAAACAACCAGCTAGCATGATAATTGCAGGATGAAATTCACACATAACATTAACCCTAAATGTAAAATGGGCTAAATTCCCCAACTAAAAAACACAGAGTGGCAAACTGGATAAAGAGTCAAGACCTATTGGTGTGCTGTATTCAGGAGACCCATCTCATGTGCAAAGACACATATAGGCTCAAAATAAAGAGATGGAGGAAGATTTACCAAGCAAATGGAAAGCAAAAAAAGCAGAGTTTGCAATTCTAGTCTCTGATAAAACAGGCTTTAAATCAACAAAGATCAAAAGAGACAAAGAAGGGCATCACCTAATGGTAAAGGGAACAATGCAACAAGAAAAATGAACTATCCTAAATATATATGCACACAATACAGGAACACCCAGATACATAAAGCAAGTTGTTAATGACCTACAAACAGGAGACTCCCACACAATAATTGTGGGAGTCTTTAACACTGCACTGTCAATATTAGACAGTTCAACCAGATGGAAAATTAACAAGGATATCCAGGACTTGAACTCAGATCTGGACCAAATGGACCTAATAGACATCTACAGAACTCTCCACCCCAAATCCACAGAATATACATTCTTCTCAGCACCACATCGAACTTATTCTAAAATCAGCCACATAATTAGAAGTAAAACAATCCTCAACAAATGCAAAAGAAAGTAAATCATAACATTCTCTCAGACCACAGTGCAATCAAATGAGAACTCAGGATTAAGAAACTTACTCAAAATCAGACAACTACATGGAAACTGAAAAACCTGCTCCTGAATGACTACTGGATAAAAAATGAAATGAAGCAGAAATAAAGATGTCACATGCAACCAATGAGAGTGAAGGCACAACATACCAGAATCTCTGGGACACATTTGAAGCAGTGTGTACAGGGAAATTTATAGCACTAAATATCCACAGGAGAAATGAGGAAAGATAAAAAATTGACATCCTAATGTCACAATTAAACTAGAAGAGTAAGATCAAACAAATTTAAAAGCTAGTAGAAGACAAGAAATAACTAAGATCAGAGCAGAACTGAAGAAGACAGAGACAAAAAAGCCTTTCAGAAAATTCGTGAATTCAGGAGCTGGTTTATTGAAAACAACAAAAGAGATAGACTGCTAGCCTGACTAATAAAGAAGAAAAGAGAGAAGAATAAATAGATGCAATAAAAAATGATAAAGGGGATATCACCACTGATCCCACAGAAATACAAACTAACATCAGAGAATACTATAAAAACCTCTATGCAAACAAACTGGAAAATCTAGAAGAAATGGATAAATTCCTGGACCCTTACACCCTCCCAAGACTAAACCAGGAAGAAGTTGAATTCTTGAATAGGTCAATAACAAGGTCTGAAATTAAGGCAGCAATTAATAGCTTACCAAACAGAAAAAGTCCAGGACCAGATGGATTCACAGCCAAATTCTACCAGAGATACAAAGAGAAGCTGATATCATTTTTTCTGACATTATTCCAAACAATAGAATAAGAGGCTATCTTCCCTAACTCATTTTATGAGATCATGATCATCCCATTACCAAAACCCAGCAGAGACACAACTAAAAAAGAAAATTTCAGGCCAATATACATGATGAAAATTGATGCAAATATCCTCGACAAAATATTGGTAAACTGAATCCAACAGCATTTCAAAAAGCTTATGCATCATGTTCAAGTCAGCTTCATCTCTGGGATGCAAGGCTGGTTCCACATATGCAAATCAATAAATGTAATCCATCACATAAACAGAACCCAAGACAAAAAACCACATGATTATCCTAATAGATGCAAAGATCTTTGAAAAAATTCAACAGCCCTTTATGCTAAAAACTTTCAATAAACTAGGAATAGATGGAACATATCTCAAAATGATGAGACCTATTTGTGACAAACCCATACATAGCCAATGTCATACTGAATGAGCCAAAACTGGAAGCAAAATTCGCTTTGAAAACTGGTACAAGACAAGGATGCCCTCTTTCACCACTCCTATTCAACATAGTATTGGAAGTTCTGGGCAGGGCAGTCAGCAAGAAAAAGAAAGAAACGGTATTCAATTAGGAAAAGAGAAAGTCATGTTGTCTCTAATTACAGATGGCATGATTGTATATTTAGAAGACCCCATCGTCTCAGCCCAAAAACTCCTTAAGCCAATAAGCAACTTCAACAAAGTCTCAGTATATAAAATCAATGTGCAAAAATCACAAGCATTCTTATACACCAACAACAGACAAATAGCCAAATCATGAGTGAACTCCCATTCACAGTTGCTACAAAGAAAATAAAATACCTAGGAATACAACTAACAAGGGATGTGAAGGACCTCTTCAAGGAGAACTTCCAATCACTGTGCAAGGAAATAAGAGAGGACATAAACAGATGGAAAAACATTCCATGCTCGTGGTTAGGAAGAATCAATATTGTGAAAATGGCTACACTTCCCAAAGTAATCTTTAGATCCAATGCTATCCCCATCAAGCTAACATTGACTTTCTTCACAGAATTGGAAAAAAATACCTCAAATTTCATATGGAACCAAAAAAAGAGCCAGCAGAGCCAGGACAATGGAAAACAAAAATAACAAAGCTGGAGGCTTCACGCTACCTGACTTCAAACTATACTACAAGACTACAGTAATCAAAACAGCATTGTACTGGTTGGTACCAAAACAGAGATATAGACTAATGGAAGAGAACAGAGGCCTCAGAAGTAATGCCACACATCTACAGCCATCTGATCTTGGACAAATCTGACACAAACAGCAATGAGGAAAGGATTCCCTATTTAATAAATGGTGTTGGGTAAACTAGCTAGCCATATTGAGAAAGCAGAAACTGGACGCCTTCCTTACACCTTATACAAAAGTTAACTCCAGATGGATTAAAACTTTAAATATAAGACCTAACACCATAAAAACCCTAGAAGAAAACCTAGAGAATTCAGGACATAGGCATGGACAAGGAGTTCATGACTAAAACACCAAAAGTAATGGCAACAAAAGCCAAAACAGACAAATGGGATCTAATTAAAAGTAAGAGCTTCTGCCCAGCAAAAGAAACTATCATTAGAGTGAACTGGCAACCAACAGAATGGGAAAAACATTTTTGCAAGCTACCCATCTGACAAAGGGCTAATATCCAGAATCTACAAATAACTGAAATAAATTTACAAGAAAAAAACAACCCCATCAAAAAGTGGGTGAAAGATATGAGCAGATACTTCTCAAAAGAAGACATTTATGCAGCCCACGAACATATGAAAAAAAGCTCATTATCACTGGTCATTAGAGAAATGCAAATCAAAACTATATTAAGATACCATCTCATGCAAGTTAGAATGGTGATTATTAAAAAATCAGGAGACAACACATGCTGGAGAAGACGTGGAGAAATACCAACACTTTTACACTGTGGGAGTGTAAATTGGTGAAACCATTGTGGAAGACAGTGTGGCAATTCCTCAAGGATCTAGAAATAAAAATACCATTTGACCTAGTAATCTCATTACTGGGTATATTCCCAAAGGATTACAAACTGTCCTATTATAAAGACACATGCACAGGTATGTTTATTGCAGCACTGTTCACAAGAGCAAAGACTTGGAACCAACCCAAATGCCCATCAGTCATAGACTGGATAAAGAAAATGTGGCACATATACATCATGGAATACTATGCAGCCATAAAAATGATAAATTCATGTCCTTTTAAGGGACATGGATGAAGCTGGAAACCATCATTCTCAGCAAACTGACACAAGAATAGAAAACCAAACACCGCATGTTCTCACTCATAAATGAGTGTTAAACAATGAGAACCCATGAACTCAGGGAGGGAAACATCACACACTGGGGCCTGCCAGGGGGTGGAGTGCTAGGGGAGGGATAGCAGGGGTTGTGGGGATAGGGAAGGATAGCATTAGGAGAAATAACTAATGTAGATGACAGGGTGATGGATGCAGCAAACCACCATGGCACATGTATACCTATGTAACAAACCCACACATTCTGCACATGTACCCCAGAACTAAAAATATTTTTTAAAATTGTAAAGTACGTTGTAAAATATTAATCTGAACTTTAGTAATATACAACTTACTTTTGTCAAAAAGCACTGTCATCATCAAACACTTTAAGTTCCAGTCAGTTGATTCGATGGCCTACTAAAATATTTGCCTTTGAAGGACATATACAATAAAAATTTTTGATGCATAAGCAAGTATATGTACATCTGTATACATTAGTATCGTTTTGCCACATTCGGTAGTCTTTTTTATGTTCAATTTATAAAAAGATAGATTTTTAGTTTTCCTGAGTACTGTATGGCAACAATTCTATGATAGAAATAATAAGTCAGTAATTGGAGATAGTAAGTGTGTGTTGAATGAAGAAAATTATTTAGATAAATGACTGTACATTGATAGATTCTTATGATATTTCAAAAACCTGACAATCTTAAAGATTATTTTATTAATTATAATTTGGTCAAGATTTAAATGGTGCATATTATATCAGCACATCTCAAATGTATGTACAATAATTTAATAAAACAAAAAAATTCAAAAGTAAAATAAAGGCCAAAGACTTGCAAGATCTAAGGCCATGTAAGAACATAGTGAAAAGATGGCAGTTTACAAGCCAAGAGAAAGGGCCTCACCAGACACAAAACCTACTGACACATCAACCTTGGATTTCTAGCCCCAGAATTGTGAGAAAATATATTTCTGTTATTTAAATTATCCAGTCTGTGGCATTTTTGTTTTGGCAGCCCTACCACACTAATATATTCCCTGTCAAGGAATAAACATGAATCTTACCTTGCACCAACGATGAAGCAACACAATGTCTTCACATTGTTGAGAACACTTTGCCTTATTCTATTCACAAGTTCTCCATCTGCACATACACATACACATCTTTCATTATAAGTAATGTTTAATTAACTATGTACATGCTTTCTAATGGCTAACTGTAGATTAGTTCACAAAGCTCAGAGAGGAGGGGCTTCATACTTGCATAGTACTGGTCCATTTCTTCTAAGAAGAAAAGGGAAGGACAAGAAGAGTCTAGCCTTCACTATAGCATTCCCTCATGTCATTGAAAAATACTTAACTAACCTTCACTTTCAAATTTCTCATTATAAATCACATACACATGCAATTTGTCAGTTAACTGCCTGTAGTAAATGTTAATGTTCTAATAAACTAGATATTAGCTGATGTAATGAGTGGTATCATCTAGGTTTTCACTACTATAAGCCATACTTAACAGTTTAGAAAATCAACAACATATTAAACAAAGGTTAGTGCTCCTGGAAGAATTCCTTGATAAACAGTTATTTTCTGACAGAATGTAACTAATTTTTCTGTTTCTAGGAAGATAAAACATGTTCTGCTGCCTCAGCAACTATTGAGAGTTTGTGCATAAGGAAAAATATCACACACACACACACGCACGCACAAAGATAATTTTCATCAATGAAACTGCACACTTATAGATGGGAAGGTAAGGAGATGTGGGTCAGGGGACTAAAATCCAGGCCTGATGCTTGTTTCCTTTAGTGTTCTCCAAAGACAAAGACATTGTTTTGACTTAGGATAAATAAATGAAAGGCAGGGAGTAGTGTGACATATTTGTGAGTTTTCTTTAAATGCGAGTTTGCTGTTCCCAGCTGTCAGGAATGATACTAATCTGGTAAAAGGACTCTTCATGCTATGGCTATTTACTTAATGTTGCTATTTACAAACGTCATCATGGAGCTGCCAGATAGAGGAATGCAGATTCACAGACTATTTAGTAGCAGCAATTTCCAGGGAAGATCGTATGTGTTCTGTCAATATATATTCCCTTACCAGAGCTTTTGGAGACTCAAGATAGTCAAAACTAATTGGGAAATATTTAGTAGGACAAGAAATAGAAAATAACCATTTTGATAGAACATTCTTGAAAGGATGGGTTATAGCCTCTATTTAAGAGTGTACTATTTTAATTGGAATTTCACATCTGATAGCCCAAGTCCTTTAATTAAGCACATCCCTATAAGTCTTACCCTTTATGCATAAAACTTTATTTTGTTTACTTTTTCCCTATTCACTTCTATGTGTTCTATAGCAAAAAAAAAAAGTTATTAACATTAGTGCAGAACTTGTTAATGTGCCACAGGGACATATTATGGTAAATTCTTTGTAAAAGGATAAAAGTGATATAGTATAATGTGGGGTTAAGGATGTTCCACTGAGAGATAGGAAACCTGCTTTCCTCTTAATTTTTGATTAATCTGTTGGGCAACCACTGGAAATTATAAACATCCCTGCATTCAAATGTTCTTATTTGTAGAATGATGAAATTGGGTGAGATCTTGCTTAGTTTATCATTATACTCTCTAGTGTATCATTATATTCCCTAGTATATCATTATATTCCAGCAATTACGGCAAAACTTCCACATTGTAACCACAATGCTGAGCATTATTCTGTTTCATCCAATTAAATGGCATTGTCCTGTTTGATTCTCATCACACCCTTGCAAGGTAGGTATCATCATCCCTATGTCTCTAAGAGCCAAGGCTTTGAGAGAATAAAGAGTGCTAAACACAGTCTGCAAGTTGCTGGGCAGGTCCTCTGTATTCTAATTAGTGTATGTGCTCTTCACCTGGACCAAAACTTTATTGATGGGCACAGCTAAGTGTTGTTATCAAAGTTGTCCCTCTAGAATGCTGGATTTCAAATACCTAAGAGATGAGCAAACTGTATGAATATATCTAGGTGTTGGAGTACAAGTTGATTATCAGCCATTTCCCTGAGCTCCCAGATCTTTTTAGCTGTTGGCCTACACACACTCCCTCACTAACAAATGATCCATTCAGCAACTAAGGGGGAATGCCTAACAATCTTCTAAGACTTTATCCAGCTTTAGCTTCAGTCTTTATAAACAGTCATGGTGCCACTTTCCAAGTGCAATAACAGACATATATACAGGGAATCTCACCCACAAGGCAGGCTGAGAAAAGATGCAGCCAGTGTCCACACAGCCCTTTCACAGTTTTGTTGCCAATGAAAAAAGTAAACGTGGCACAGCAGGGCTATAGACAACAGCATTTTCTGGCTTGAAAGTCTGTAGAGTAAGCTCTTTATGAATTGCTTCTTGAGATTTAACATTCTCAAGATTTAACATTCTTCTTGATTTTTACTTGGGTCTCTGAGATCAGACACATTATGATGGTGTCAAGCTCCTGGAAAGAATTAGGCAGAGTGGTGGGCTGTTCCTGAGTTCCTGACTTAGTCTTTCTAAAAATGACAAAGGATTACCGTATATGGTCAGGGGCTAAATTGCCTCTGATAGGCTTTCTCTAATGGACTGTAAAACTCACTTGTTGTTTGTTGCTCCAAAGGCAAATATTTTCTAAACTTATAACTAAGGCCTATATTCCAATGACTGGTGCCTACTGCCTAACTCAGGGAGCTCTATGCAGCCTTTGAACATAACAGCTCCACAGGTTAAGTGAAAACTGATTTCTCTACAAGTTCGTCTTGAACTAAACTGTTCCCTTCCTTATTCAAGTTAGAATCAGTGTTGCAGTTTGGTGGTCTTATAAAGAAAGTAAATTGTGCTTTATGTTTATTCTGTGCTAAGTGAGAAGTACCTTGACATTTCTGTCAGCTTTCTTTCAAACACAATGATATTGCTTCAGATTTATATATGTACAAACAGATTTGTCCACATGGGTCTTAGTAATGTGTTTGTTTTTCAGTTGCTTGTAGTAGCTGAGTATAAGTGGATATACTGTATTTTCTCTGTAAACTATAAGGGAGATCTCTCTGAAGAATGGCACTGGGTGTTTCTGTGGGTAGCGGCAGATTCATGAAAGAAAGAACTTTGATTTTATATAAGAAATCTGTTCCCTGAGAGCACCTTGTAGATGATTCCACATCCACTCACTGCTTAATGAATACAGACTGGCAGAATTTCCTCAGGGACAGTTGGGCATAACAATTTGGCTGCCTCTAAAGCCCATATTTCTTTGTGAGACTCTAAAGGAGGAATTGAACTTCAGTGAACCAGGGGCTTCATTCTTCACTGTTCAGGCAGTTTCTCTAAGTTGTTTCGGTACTGTCAGTTGAGATGGAAAAGTGCATGCCTGACTGCTGGTGAGTTTTATTGAACTGAGTGATCCTGGCATTTGTATTAGGATTTGGAAGTTGCATGCTCCTTGTGAAGATGAGTTTCAAAGTGCTTCTGTGCTACTTTTACAGTATAGATCCAGAAAACATCTCCTGTTTTTATTCTTTCTCAATGCTGACTACCATTTATGAGTCAAGTGATTCCTCTGAAAAATATTACTCAGTAAATCTTCATTTTTTTAGAGCTTTTTCACTGGACAATTGTCAAAAATCTACTGCAAAATGATGAAATCACCCCAACATTTGACAACTCAGAGGTTCTAGTTAGGTTCTGGGAATTCAACAACTGGAAAGACTGTCTCTTTTTGCTAGATGGACCCTTTCAGAATCGATTGAGATCACCGTATCCTTAGTTTGTTATATAAAGGAAATTTGACTACTATAGCCTATGAGCATGAGGTATAAACCATAATGAAAATAGACACTGAAGCCAAAATTCTGGTGCCAATTTAAGTTGATTTACTCTTTCTTCATAGAGCCCCTTCAATTTGAATCCTGTGAATAAAGTTCAGAAATATTAACCACAGGTTAAGGTGGTAGCATCTTTTTCATTGTTTCTTTTCATGTCAAAACAGACATGTCTAGGAGGAAAGAATTCTCATATTTAACTGAGGATTCTCATTAATAATACTATAATATGTCACCCTCTACAAACCATTTCAATATGCATTATCTCCC